AAACTCCAAAAGGAAGCACTCCTCAAACTTTGAGGCTCGGGCTTTGCAGTTTCGTGGGATGCCGACGGGCTCCTGCCTTTGACGGCTCCAGGTTAGTGTTGATCCAGCAAGTAAACCCTAAACTCTAAACCCTAAACCCTATAGTCGTCGAACCTACTTCTGCAGACCTTGCCAGGCTTGTCCGAGAGTGAGTGTCAAAAAACCCTAAACTCTAAACTCTAAACCCTAAACCCTAAACCCTAAACCCTAAACACCCTAAACCCTCAAAACCCCAAACCCTAAACCCTAAACCCTAAACCCTAAAAACCCTAAACCCTAAACCCTAAACCCTAAAAACCCTAAACTCTAAACCCTAAACCGTTTGCTATGGCCTTCAGTCGTTTTGTGTTCGCCAGGACCCTGAATCTCCCCTTCAGCCTCTAAGGAGCCTTACCAAGAAGCAGGCTCTTGCTAAGAGTCTATAAAAGGGCTACTTTTAAGGTCCTGATATATCTATCTATCTATATATATATATATATTCATAATATATATATATATATATATATTATGGATATTATCCAACTATTACTGCATCCAACCTGGGGACTGGTCCAGGGCTTCGATCCCCAAAGCGAGGGTGTAGAGGATCGGATGTAAATGTGAGCTACATAGAGTAACCAATGTAACTTCCTGCAAAACAGGGATATGACCCTAAAAGAAGGCACAACTGAATTGTTTAAGGTATCTTGGTTTTCCAAATATCTTTGGTGTAGAAAGGCCTTGTTGCGAGGCAGGATGCTGTAGGCTTGAGTGGTGTAGGGTCAGGGCCGTTTGCGCTTGCGCCGGGGAGGTTTTGAGACAAGGCCCTCGTGAAGGAAGGCATCGGCTTCTTAAAGTCTTAGGGGAAGATTCTGTAGCTATAAATAGGGTCGGCAACCATAAACCCACGTCTTTCTCTTTTAATTATGTCCCGTGCACCATGTCGATCACTGTGGAAGTCGGGTTGCTCAGCGGGAAGACGGCTTCTTTGAGGGCCGACGTGGATAAACGGGTGGAAACATTGCAGTGTCGGGCGCAGGCTGCACTCGGAGTTGGAAGAAGTCGACTGCTGGACCCATCTGGCAGAGCTCTAGATGTATGTGCACTGATCAAGGATTCCAAGTTGCAGAATGGTGATAGACTGACGCTGCACTTTAGCCAAGTTCAGGCATGTGCCACCGACAGCGCTTTTGCCGCCATTCTCGGCGATGGCTCCGTCGTGACCTGGGGTAGTGCTGACAAAAGTGGTGACAGTAGTGCTGTGCAGGATCAGCTTAAGAATGTGCAGCAGATCCAAGCCTCTCGCTCTGCTTTTGCTGCCATTCTTGGCGATGGTTCTGTGGTGACCTGGGGTGAAAGCGATTATGGCGGCGACAGTAGTGCTGTGCAGGATCAGCTGAAAAATGTGCAGCAGATCCGAGCCGCTGGCAACGCTTTTGCTGCCATTCTTGGCGATGGTTCTGTGGTAACCTGGGGTTTACCGCACCACGGTGGTGACAGTCGTGCTGTGCAAGATCAGCTAAAGAATGTGCAGCAGATTCAATCCGCTGAGTATGCTTTTGCTGCCATCCGTGGGGATGGCTCCGTCGTGACATGGGGCGCTGCTGGCTATGGTGGTCACAGTGGTGCTGTGCAGGATCGGCTGAAGAATGTGCAAGAGATCCAAGCATGTCTCACTTTCGACGGCGGTTCTTTCGCTGCTATTCTTGTCGATGGATCTGTGGTGACCTGGGGTGACGCTGCAAGCGGTGGTGACAGCAGTGCCGTGCAGGACCAGCTGACGAACGTGCAGCAGATCCAGGCATCTGGCGGCGCTTTCGCTGCAATCCTCCGTGACGGATCGGTCGTGACCTGGGGTTATGCTGGTTATGGTGGCGACAGTGGTGCTGTGCAGCATCAGCTCAAGACTGTGCAGCACATCCAAGCCTCTAGCCGTGTTGGTGGCTTTGCTTTCGCTGCACTTCTTCACAATGGAGCTGCTGTGACCTGGGGTGATGTTTCCTGCGGTGGTGACAGTTCTGCTGTGCAGGATCAGCTGCAAAATGTGCACCAGATCCAAGCCACTTGCCGCGCTTTTGCTGCAGTTCTTGACAACGGATCCGTCGTGACATGGGGTGATGCTGACTACGGCGGTGACAGCAGCGGTGTGCAGGACGAGCTAAAGAATGTGCAGCAGATCCAATCCTCTTGCCGTGCTTTTGCTGCCATCCTTGGCGATGGTTCTGTGGTAACCTGGGGTGATGCTGACTTTGGTGGTGACAGCAGTGCTGTGCAGGATCAGCTGAAGAATGCGGAGCAAATCCAGGCCTCTAACTGCGCTTTTCTTGCCATTCTTGGCAATGGCTTTGTGGCGACCTGGGGTGGCGCTGCCTATGGTGGTGCTGTGCAAGATCACCTGATGCACGGCTAGCAGCCTCTCCTCCAGTTCTCGAAGAGAACATAAGGGGATTAACTGGATATAGCCCCTTATACCAGGATCTTTATAATCTGGAAAGAGATCATCAAGTACACCGACATCGTCGACGGCATGTGGCAGGGGCGTTTTGTGTGTCATGACAAAGCCCCGCCCCTAAACCAAAATGCCACCGGTGCCGTCGAATCGCCACGAAGGTCTCTGGGTTCCCAATTACGAAGGAAGCTTTCGAATCGACTTGCAACTCTGGCGCATACGTCTCAGGTGACAGCTTCAGGTAGCGTCCGCGCCCATGTGGCGGTTCTGCGAGAGGCCACTTACGTTCTATCTACAGAGGTTGGGAGCTCATCGAGTTTGTCAGTCTACGCTTGGAGTAGGCGGTTGCAGAATCGTTGTTCGTGCCATCCAACTCCCAACCTCACTGCAACGTCCTACTCGAGAAATTAATCTGCTGAGCTGTTTATCGCTGAAGAAGCTGAAAGCCACAACGGAACGCACTCTTTTCACCAGCGTTTTGGCAGGCTTGTCCCAGTCTTCCTTCAATCAAGGCGCGTTCTTCTCCTGGTATCTTGGCCAAGAGAGAAGATGTCGATTCTGGTGTTGCTGGCCGTGGCTTTGCATTGGTCCGTGGGGGCGGGTGTGTACATGACTCTTCTGGGAGCCAGCGCTGATACATGGGGTTTTCGAGTCTGTTTTCGAGCATATTGGCAGCATATAAGATAGGGGCCAAGGTAATTACCTAGAATATTTGGGTGGTTTCCTTATTACGATTATAGTATAACTAGGGTATCTCAATGGCCGAGCCGTTTCGCTGCAAGTGCTGGCCAGCTGAAGAAAGCTGGCCAGGGTCAGGTTGTTTTGCTTTTGCTGACCGGGGTTGAATTGGAATCAATCTGCCGGAAATTTGGGGAAGTCTGTCTCACTGCCGGCCAGCTGGGCAAGCCTTCTTGACTCTTCCGTGCTCAGGGTTGCCTTCATTATAGAAAGCTCGTCCTGCCTGCGGAAGTGGCAGATACCTGGTCGAACAACATCAAACAGGAACAATCGTGTCGAGGGCTGTCTGCCGGGCCGTGCTTTTTGCTGGATCCACCCACATGCCTGGTAAGTTAGCTGCTTGCGGCGACAAACTGGCGGGCACTTACAAACTGAGAAGCCGGACGACGGGCCCGAAGGTTATGCTTCCCCTGAGCCTCAAGGGCCCAATGCCTAATGTTTGCTGGTGGTAGGGCTGATGATTGCATGGCGCCTACCCCAGTTATGTAGGTGACATCGTCCGGGAGGAGGTGCCGTACAGCCAGGCCGCAATGCAGCTGGGCTGCTTTTCAATCAACGGCGTGGTCCATGTTGTATCGCAATGTTTTCGGGTTGCAGACGCTTGCGTTGCATTGTTCTCCCGGTGCCTTCGGTGCTCCGCCAAGCAGTGCCCAGGAAACACTTTACATCACTGCTGTACTGCGGGTGCTTCGCAGAGGGCCTGCAAATCTATGAGATGCTCGATGGCACCAGGTGTTCTACATGGCATCCTCACTTTCGGGTTTTCCGGGGGTAGCTACATGCATGAACAAATCTCCCGGCTTTGGTGTTGGATTTTGTCTCGACCTAGCAGAAGGCATCACGTTTCTATGCGGTCTGACATCATTGCAGGCTTGATTCAAAGTTTGAATGAATTGGAAGGATGTTTTGACCTCGGGTTCTGAAGACTAAAGACTACCTAACACCCTTCTTCGAAGTTTTGCCGGAGTCCTGGGTCTGTGTCTTGATTGCACAGGGGCGCCTTACTGCAGCTGCCGTGCATGGGACTCTTGATGTGCTGCTTGCTGAACCCTCAGCATCACTCTGAGACCTCAGGTGTTGTTCGTTTTATTGCAGCTACTCGTACCATTGCCCATGCATTTGCGGTTGACTAGGCTTTGGTTTGAGTGTTGTTGGCTTTACTTGCTTATTGTAGGTTGCTACCTGTATAAGCACTGCATGCACCCGCCCGAACTTGCAGTACTACGCGATGATCATTCCTTCTATGTTGACCAAGCCTCCGGGCAATAGTGCCGCGAATGCTGTATCAGCTACACTTTTCTGTCTTCGCTTCCCTCTTGAATCCGTTAACTGTTCTCGTGCACTGAGGGGTGACTGCTCCACTTTGGTCGAGTTGGCAGATGCTGCCTTTTGCTTCAGCGCGCAGGCCAGAAGACCTGCGAAGTTGGTCTGGGAATTCAGGGTTCCCGAGATTCCGAGATAGTGCAAAGTACGAGAGGGGCGGAGCAGAGTCAAGAGCAGTGCCTGCTTGAGGCGAATAAATGCAGGGGATACAAAACCCTAAACCCCTAAACCCTTAAACCGTGGCATGCCAGCCAGCGAATTAGTCTAACCTTGCTATGCGACTTCGTCCTTGAGAAGTAGGAAGCCCAAAGGCGCCATGTACCTTTATAGTAGCTACTTAGGCCTTAAAGGGGTCCCTATATAGGTACTTTAAGGCCTATGGGTACATGGAGCCTTAGGGAAGCAACAAAAGTCTCAGCGCTTTCCCTTGCGAAGGCGTTTATTCCAATGCTGTCAATGCACCTCCGGCTCCTCGGTGTCCGTTGCAAGAGAGACCCAGCGACTCCCTTACGTATCTTTTGATTAAGGAATATACCTCAAATCATACTAAGTTCATATATTCGATTTCGGATCCTACTATAATTTAGGGTATATTTCTTAATTAAGGGATATAGGAGTCTCTTTGGAACTGTCGCCTGAGCTTTGGATTGTCTTGCTCCTGGGCTCGAGGTTTCAAGGCTCCCCGTTTCTTGTGAGAACCCCGTGACCGGCCGGTGCTCCTGATGTGCCCAGGGTTTAGGGTTTTAGGGTTTTAGGGTCTGGAGTTTTAGGGTTTTAGGGTTTTAGGGTTTAGGGTTTTAGGGTTTAGGGTTTAGGGTTTTAGGGTTTAGGGTTTTAGGGTTTGAGGTTTGTGGGTTTGGGGGTTTAGGGTTTAGGAGTTTGGAGGTTTAGGGTTTAAGGGTTTAGGATTTAAGGGTTTAAGGGTTTGGGGGTTTAGGGGTTTGGGGTTTAGGGTTTTGGGGTTCAGGGTTTAGGGAGTTTAGGGAAAGGTGTAGGAGTTGAGGCTGGGAGGGTTTGTCACACCAACAGCGCTTTCTCACAACTCGCCACACCCTGTCCTTAAACAAGACGGCCGCAACATTCGAAGCTCCTGTGCCCAAACTGCTGCACCCTTCTATTGTCTATGTACCCATACTGACAGCCTCGAAGCGCCAAAGCTGAAGTCATGCGATGTGTCTTCTTGCAAACCTCTTGCATCACTACTCCCTCCACCACCCGACTCATGCCCTCTAGACGCAGAAGTAGAGGGTCGAACAAGCCGTAAGCGTTCCAATGTCTAAGCACTGGCGACTGTAGGTTTAAGCCGCAGAGTAGAGAGGTGCCAGCTCCAGCAAGAAAGCTTCGGACCCATCTGCAGCTTTGCCCTCCGCCACGGTCATGAGTCTTGGTTTTCTTTGGCAAGACCCCCTGTAGAATTGAACGGGCGCTTCGGACTTATAATCTGCAGTCATTTTTCCCGGATTATTGATGTCATGTGTGTGCCTGCCCGTGACAGTAACAGATATCGTCTAACCAAGTACCCTAATTACATCCCCTAAGGCTCCATGTACCCATATAGTATATACTTAGGCCTTAAAGTACCTATATAGGGACCCCTTTAAGGCCTAAGTAGCTACTATAAAGGCAAAGGTACATGGAGCCTTTGGGATCCTAAACCAAACCCTAAGTCAATGCATTGATCTTTTGCGGCATCTACCCTAAACCCTAGACCCTAAACCCTAATAAACCCTCCAGCACGGCACAAGGACACTCTGCTCGATGACTGCCGCCGCTTGGAGACCGTTCAAGAACCTCGTAGCTTCCCCACATTGCGGAATTCAACCACACTTTGGGGTACTTAGAAATAATTTTTGGTTATTACAATCCCTAAGAAACAGCTAAAATTATATTTTTTGCCAGGGTTCTAAGTTCAGTATAGTACACTGCCTATCCTGCACGATAGTTGCGATCCTAATCTGTTGTAATATGATATGTTGAGTTATATTATACGGTACTAGGTTATACCATATTACAGCATGTCACAGTAATTAGATTATATGTTGTATTGCGTGGGTTCAGTTTGGAAGGGCAACAAAAACATACACACCTGATGTTGTACCCTCGTGGAACCAGCCCTGGTAGTTTGAGATTGACGGTCTCCTAGGTTTGTGTATCTTGTAACTAGGTATCGATTTGGGTGTTGGGTCTTGAATCTACGTATCGCTTGATATAGAGCCCTCATTGTACATATTTTTGGGGACTACTGAAATGGACCTAGTGTCTCTGGGTCTCTGAACCGTTGGAGAGGCGGACCGTGACAGACACGGATCATTCAGAAGCACATGGGTGAGGAATCTAGGAGATTGAGCTGCGATCCATTTACTAGTCACTAGTCAGAGCTAGGGGGGCGTTGACAAGAAAGGACTGCAAGTACATAAGGCAAGCTGAGTACCCAAACTTGTTACCTTAATCTGCTCCCTGTGCTTGTGCTTCAAGGGAGCATCAGAGTTGAACATGCGACCCAGGCATTGACCCTAACTAGTCAGATCTTGGCAAGGAGGACCCTTAAGTAAGGTACCACCGATTCTTAAGAAGCCCTGATTTCTGAGAAGGCTACTTCGCTCGGCGCTTCTTCGCTGAGGACCGCGTCTTGGCGACGAGCCATCGCATAGGCAGCTTGCATGTATCGTTTTCGAGTATGGGGCTTGTGAGAATGATGGTGCAGAGCTCAACCAGTGATCAGAATGTTCCATCTCTTGAATCCAGGTGCGTAGCAAGGCGCAGTAGGACTTCCCGGGCTTTGGTTCACGATGTGGTCACAGCTCCTGACGCCCGGAAGAGCCAGGAGCATGTCGTCAGCCCGAACACTAGCAGCAAATCACAAGTATATGGTTGATGATATAAATCCTGCATTACCTTAAGGACCCTAAACGATGGGAATTGTGATACATTCCGTATTAATGTGCCGGTCGGTTTAGGAATATGGGCTCCTTTAATGCGTCGGCTCGGGGGCTAATTCCGACCGGTACCCGGTCTAATTAATGCTTTTTTTTTGGCTGGGGGGATTTTTTGGTGGCGGGGCTGTGCTATTTGCTGATGGTCAATCTTAAGGCAGCCACGATCTAAACCCCCACCCAACCCTAAAACCCTGGTCCTGAAGCCCCAAAATCTCTTGCAGAATTGTTTCGCTTATTGGGGCGTCAGGAATGGGAGTCTGTACTACTACTGTACTACTATTGTACTATTGTACTGCTACTGTATGCCTTGCTTATTGGGGGGGGCTGCTAGGGTGAACCGCCGAATCGGGGATTGGACCCTAGCTCAAAAGAGGCCTCTCCATTACTAAAGTTTGTATAAAAAATTCAGTTTGGGGTCCAATCTGGACCGACCCCCCTTTGGAAGGGTTTAGGGCTTAGGGTTTAGGGTTTGTTATAGGGTTTAGGAGTTTAGGATTCGTTAGGGTTTAGGGTTTGTTAAGGTTTAGGGTTCAGGGTTTAGGGTTTCAGGCGCTGGCTTTATGCTTTGCTTATTGGGGAATGTGCTCACTGGCTTTATGCTTTGCTTATTGGTACTATTTCTGTACTATTACTGTATTACTACTGTACTACTTTGGTAGTACTACTGTACTACTAGTGTACTACTGTACTACTATTGTACTACTACTGTACTACTATTGTACTACTACTGTACTATTATCGTACTACTACTGTACTACTATTGTACTACCACTGTACTACTGTTGTATTACTATTGTACTACTGCACTATTATTGTACTACTACTGTACTACTACTGTATTATTATTGTACTACTGTACTATAATCGTACTACTACTGTACTACTACTGTACTACTATTGTGCTACTATTGTACTACTGTACTATTATTGTACTACTACTGTACTACTATTGTACTACCACTGTACTACTGTTGTATTACTATTGTACTACTGCACTATTATTATACTACTACTGTACTATTCTAGTATACCTTGATTATTGGGGGGGGGATTGGACCCTAGCTCAAAAGAGGCCTCTCCAGTACTAAAGTTTGCATAAAAAATTCAGTTTTCGGTCGAATCTGGACCGACCCCCCTTTGGAAGGGTTTAGGGCTTAGGGTTTAGGGTTTGTTATAGGGTTTAGGAGTTTAGGATTCGTTAGGGTTTAGGGTTCAGGGTTTAGGGTTTCAGGCGCTGGCCCAGACCCCCCCGACCCCCGACGGCGCAGTCGCGCAGAACCGCAGACCCTGCACCCAAGCCAGCCCCCAAACCCCGGCACCTCCCAATTCCCTGCCACTCAGACCCCTGACCCCTGTCCGGGGCTACCGGTTCCGCACTAAACCGACCGCAACTTTTTGGTCGGGGGGGGGGGGGTACCCTAGTACTAAACCGACCGCCACATTATGGGTAATGCAGGATTTATATCATCAACCGTATGTGCAAGTTGAAGTGGACGGCTACAACGCACAAAAAGAATCCTTATTGTATTACTAGTAAACGCACTACACATAAGTAGCTTGTTTTGTTTGCCTCAGGTACAGAGTCTTGGCAAGATTTCTGCGACAGAATGCCTTCAAGCGTCCAGCGCTGCTTGTCACAGCAAAATGAGGATTCACAGGAGCCCTGAGCAAAGTCCAATCGTATCGGTGTTGGGTGATTTTCTCGTTGTCCGAGTGTGAGCCCAAGCTCCTCCTGCTACTTGGGAGTTTCCGAGAATACCCGAATAAAGTGCCCTAAATAGTAGGCTCCTTATAAGGACCCCAAATTTTAAAGTACCCCTAATTTTCGAAAACTTCCACTTTACGATTCAGTGCCAGCCACAATTATTTGCTCCTTGCTGGCCGCGAGATGTTGCGCGGGGTTGCAAGGTGTTTTACTTGAGTCTGACTGTAAGAGCACATCGAGGAGGATCTGTTGTGAACTTGTCAAAGCCTGCCGATAGCATGGGAAGCGTCTGATGTCAACGGACCAGCTTCATGCCGCAGAGCGCACACCTGTCACTTGTACTTGTACAAGTACCTGGGGGACATGTGTGTACCACACTCCCACCTTGACACCAACACCCCCATGAGGCCGATTGTCCTACAATTAATCTTCAGTATCGTACACCGTCCCCTAGACCCTCACGCTCCTGTGAACTTGTCCTCCCATGCGGATTTCGTGTCAAGCAGTAATGTTGGAGCTGGCAAACGGAGCTCGTCATGCAGGACTGCTGCATGTTCATTAAGCAGTTCAACCCGGTACTCGTATGAAGCTTTCTTTCTGGTGCTTTCAACTCCACCCGGGCGCGTGCAGCAACAACATGTAGAAACTGTTGCTATCCCACTGATCAGGGTTCCTGATGTAGCTTAAACTTGAGCCCTTGTTCTAAATGAAAGGTTCTTTTTGCTGAGGTTCTGAGAGCCTCTCGAATTTCTGCATCCCACATGTGCTCCAAGCCATGTCTCAGGCTTCTTGCGCGCCGAGGTCTCTTCTGAGCATCGGTTTGCAGAATAGTTTGTAGTGCACGGACGTGGCTCACTGGCACAGCCCTTTGCAAGTTTTCGTCCGGTTCTATTCTGTCATCTTGTTTTATACCACGACATGTCATGTCATGTCACGTCAGGTCATGTTTTGCTACATTTGGGCATGACGTGATATACTATGTCACATCATTCTACGCCTTGTTTTTCACTTCTTTTGTGTGCAAATGACTAGTAGTGATAAGCACCTGCATCTGCTGCAATGGAATCCGGGTACAAACCCCACCCAACCTGTTTACGAGAACATGTTCCTGCTGCGATATTCGGTGCAGCACGTGTCGAACACAACCTGGACACAAGGAAAGGTCTGTTGGTCTCTAAGTATTCGGTACCTGGGTAATGGTTCAGGCTCTTGTGGAATTAGGATAAGCAATTGAGCCTTTGTTACTGACCGTTAAAAAGTCCCAAAACATGCTTGCTTGAGGGTTTCCGTCACAGGGCACTACTCGCAGAGCACACGTCCTCAAATACTGCGTCACAGTTTCGCAAGTGCAGCGAGCGCGAGAAGATCGTCGTGAGTGAGGGGCTGGTGGTGGTTGAACGCCGCACAGTAATTGCTTCAATGACCCAGGGTAGGCCCTTATTCCCTTTTTTAGTGTTCGGGTTCCCTTATAAACCCTCTTCAACCAATAAGGGCACCCTGTTTATTCCTGGATTACTCTTTGGTCTAGGCTTTGAGAGTGCAGCAAGCAGAGAGCCAGAGGCGGTCCTACAGAAAACGCAACCTCAGGCATTTAGGGTTCAGGGTTTGGGCCCGGCAGGTTCAACCAGTTCCAGCCCAGACACTGGTAGCCTTTGTTCAAAGCGAGCAAGCGGCTGCAAAGATCGGCCGCAAAAGGTGATGCTTCAGCAGCAGCTGCTGCGGATTTCTGGCTTCCATTAGTCCTGATTTGGACGTTGTGGAGCCTGACTTGCCCATGGCTACCCCCAGACACATACTAGCGGGTTATAACGAAGTTTACTGTAATTAACCGGTTTGGGGCCGGCATACACTCCAAGTCCGTGCTCAAAAAGGGCTTACGGCTCATCGGGAGGCACTTCAGAGAGACCTCGTTCAAAAGGGTTTAGGGCTAACAGACCGAAGAATGAGCCTTTCTAGTACGACGTTGCGAGCCAAGAACCTCGTCTGGCTGTGTCCGAGTTGCGAGAGCGTAAACACCTCGAACCACATGCCTCGCCTGGATTGTCCGAGTGTGAGCGCCGAAACCGCCAAAAAACCCTAAGCCCCTAAACTCAAACTCTAAACCCCTAAACCCTAAACGTGGAGCCTTGCCTGCCTTGTGCGAGTGTGAGCGTCGAAAACCCTAAACGTCGAAACCCTAAACCCTAGAACCTCGTTTGGCTTGTCCGAGTTGCGAGAGCGTAAACCCTAGATTTCTGGCCCAGCGCCGCTGCAGCACTTGCCTGCATTGAGCCTCAGGAGCCGCAGCTTGGCAAAAAGCGCCGACGCAAAAACCCAGTGGCACATGGTTGGCCTATACTACCTCTAAAGGTACCCTTAAAGGCTTCTTTAAGGGATCTATAAGGGATCTATAGGGTTTCGGGTTTCTTACAGGGGGCTTAAAAATTGCCTATACTGTTTTGGGGGTTCCTTATTATGACTATAATATAATAATGGGCCCCCAGACGCTATAGTTTAATTATTAAGGCCTTATATTAGACCCTCCACCGCGCCGATACAGCGACTCCTTGCGGCTCTGCGACCGTCCCTGCCCTTGGCGTCCTTGACCTGTGCTTGTCCTTTTGTGATCTGTCGCGCGTTGGCTCCGTATGTGTTGATCCTCAGTATTCACGTTTCCTTCAGACACGTTCGTCGTCAGCAGGTGTTGGGAGAACAGATGCGTTCTTGCTTTTTTCGGGCACCCGGGAAGACTGTGGCGTGCAGAATGTATGATATGCGTAGGTCCAGACCCGACGCTCCCAGCACCGCATCATGCAGTTTCCCGGATGCCACCAACCAGAAAACCCTGAGTTCCGGAGTCCTTCCATTCGACACCTGAGGTTCTTCCTCTTCCCTGCAGCTGCACCAATCGCCAAGTCTGGCCCTCGTGACGTTGAAGCCTTCTTGTTCTACAGCGGCTCTTGTCACTGACTCAGCACAAGGGTGCCGGAACCTCATATGGGCTTCAGTTGACCATGCAATTTCATTACAGGCATCTTGAAGCCCAAACACGCTGTATTCTCTGCGGCCTTGAGAAAGCATATCAGCTCCTCTGGAGGTCCACCTTGACACTGCCAGAGCGAGTGAAGTCACTTGGCTCGAAGTGCGCGAGGTTTTCGTGTTTGCCTGATTCAGGAATAAGCGTTGATTGCGCCGCGCATGACGGACCTATGCCTCTGGAACTGATATGTTCAGCAGGCCGGCAATCGGCATTAGTCCTGCTCCCAATCTTCCAGGATCTTCCAGGTCCGACCTCTGACCATTCGGAGGACTCTCCTGCCCGTATTGTGCATGACACAGCGCACAGTGGCACGCGATCATCGGCCCCAGATAAGGGTACGGTTTACTTAGCTGTGCCGACGATTCCGAAGCCTCTATCAGATGGACTACATTTTGCCGATATGGACAAGTGGTACTGTTGGTGAACATTGAAGAGTTTTTTCGTCAACAAGGGTATCTTCATGGAGGCCTTTCGCACAGACACTGTTACAGGATTGAACAATGGGTTGAGGGTAGGATCCTCAATCCGCGCCGGAAGCTAGACTTGTGGTCCTCCATCTTCATGCTGCTCCCTGCAAACTTTCTCTTCTGATGATACTTCCACCAAAAACAGAGAATCACAGGCCTGTAGAGCTGACATACTGCTAGGAGAGCCCGCGTTTTTTGAGCATATGGACAACCCAGCGCACGAGCCCGTAAAAGACATGCTCTGAATAATTACAGCGGCCGCGACAACGAACACAAAAACAAAAGCACACACACACAACAGCAGCAGCAACAACAACAACAACGACGATGACAGCAATGCCGGCACCCACCAGCACCACCACCATCAACAGCAACCACAACCACAAAATCATTATCAACATCAGCAACAACGACGACGACAACGACCACAACAACAACAGCAGCAACAACAACAGCAACAGCACAAACAACAGCATTTACAATGCCATAAAAAACTAGTACTAGTAGTAGTAGTAGTAGTAGTAGTCGTCGTCGTCGTCGTCGTAGTCGTAGTAGTAGTAGTAGTAGTAGTAGTAGTAGTAGTAGTAGTAGTAGTAGTAGTAGTAGTAGTGGTAGTAGTAGTAGTAGTAGTAGTAGTAGTAGTAGTACCACTACCACCACTACTTCCACTACTTCCACTACTTCCACTACTACTACTACTACTACTACTACTACTACTACTACTACTACTACTACTACTACTACTACTACTACTACTACTACTACCACGACTAGTACTACCACTACTACTACTACTACTACTACTGCTACTACTACCTGCTCCTACTCCTACTCCTACTACGACTACTGCTACTACTACTACTACTACTACTATTACTACTACTAGTACTACTACTACTATGACTACTACTACTAATACTACTCCTATTACTACTACTCCTATTACTACCTGCTCCTACTCCTACTCGTACCCGTACTACTACTTCTACTACTGCTACTGCTACTGCTGCTGCTGTTGCTACTGCATTTGCTTTGCTACTGCTGCTTCTGTTGCTACTGCTACTGCTACGATTACTCTCACTACTCTTACTACTTACTACTACGTACTACGACGACGACGACGACTATTACTCCTACTACTACTACTACTACTACTACTAGAAGTACTACTACTACTACTACTACTACTACTACTACTACTACCACTACTACCACTGCCACTAGCACTGCTTCTACTACTACTACTACCACGACTCCTACTACTACTACTACTACCACTACTACTACTACTACTACTGCTACTACTACTACTGCTACTACTACGACTAGTAACTACCACGACTACTACTTCCACTAGCACTACCACTGCCACTAAATTACGGTAACAACAGCAATACTAATACTCATAAGTAAGACTATTCAGAATCTTAATAACAGGAAGAAGAAGAAGTGGCAGTACACGTGGTCACGGTCAGTGGTCTTGTCATCCTCCTAGTTCTTCAGCCATTGACAGGGGTTGAGTCCGAGCAGTAGTTGTGTAAGCCGCGTTTCCAACGGCATGCGATCACTGAGGTTGTTAGACGGCCACATCTGGGGCCACGATGCTGCTATTCTCGAGGCTGCGATTGATTATGCATCGAGAACGGCTTCTTCATAATCCTGTGTGGCATGTATATTGATTATGTTTAATTATATTTAGTTATAATTTAGTTATACTTATAGTTATATGAGCTATATTCATTTTAATTACTTACATTATTTGCATTTAGCCATATGAGCGGAGAGCTAAACCATCGAAGAGCTAGCCAGACTAGGGCCGGCATTAACGAATGGGCGCGCAAGCGCGCATAAGCAACAGTCGCATGCGCGGAAGGCTTCCGCACCGGTTGCTTTAAAAACGGATGTGCGGAAGGGGTGTGCGGAAGGGTATCTTGAGGTCTTTCCTGCGCAAAGACCTGAAATGCGGAAGGGCGCGCGGAAGGCTTAAAGCTTAAGAGCTGACTCAAGGGCCCGCGCGTAAGGGACAGTTGGCTCCGCGGAAGCTGCGCGCACCCTAAACGCGGAAGGGCTTGTTAGCGTCAACGATTTGAAAAGAGGTTTTGATAACCGCTCATATGAACTATACAGTCCGACTTTTACGTGCGGACCAAAACCTGAGACAGTCCGCGCATGGAGGTGCTTGAGATGACGGCGCGGGTTCAGCTGCTCGGCACATCTTCGGTTTTAGGGTTTAGGGTTTAGGGTTGGGGAGGGTTTAGGGTTTAGGGTTTAGGGTTGGGGAGAGGGTTTAGGGTTTAGGGTTTAGGGTTTAGGGTTTAGGGTTGGGGAGAGGGTTTAGGGTTTAG